CCAGGCCGAAACTACCTCTGGGAGCTGGATGCTCAGCTGGGCACCAGCAGTTGCAACTAATTTACCAGCCTGTGCTTTGGGTAGCAACGGTGGGTGTTGCCCTGGTCACAGGCCCTGTCCCGCGGTGTTCGGGGGGGGAAAAAAGTGGGGGGGGGGGGGGGGGGAAGGCGTGGGCAGCAGGCCTGGCCTGACCTCCCGGTGGCGCTGGCCGGAGGCGTGTCCTGCCAAGGTGAGCAGCGCCTCTGAAGCAAGATCTGAGGAGAGAGCCCCTTATGTTACAAGGCCGCCGGCGGGAATGTTTGTTAATGGCAGGATTTTTTTTCCTGGGGAAGCCTGAAGGGGGGAGAGACTTTTGTGAAAGGGAGCGCATCTGTCGGCTCCAGCTGCCTAATGTGTTAAAGTGCATCTGCTGCACAGAGGAGAGCAGCGCTCGCCTGGCTCGAGACATTCCCATCTGGGAACGTGCTGAGAGCCAGGGGGGAACATTACAAACTTTTTTTTTTGAGTTTTAAATCACCACTTCCCCCAGACACTTAGCTGTATGAATGTAGAGAGTAGGAGGCTCTTTCCTGAGGTGCATGGTATTGATGGATGGGGTAACCAGGGCTGACAAACTCAGGGTCTCAAAAAACAGAGCTTGAAAAGCTCTCAAGTACCAATTGTCTCAGAAACATTTTGCAAGCGTGGAGAGAGCAATTTCTGTCTCTTCCCACAGAAGAGAATATTTCAGGATTCCGTCCTGATAAGGGACCACGAAAACAAGCTTTTGTCTGCAGCTTGCAAGACTGTATGTCCTGGTGTTGATTCAGACAGGCTTTCTTACTGCTTCTGCTTTTATTAGATTATATGCGATTTAGATTGTAAAAGTCTAAAACCTCATGGATAATTTTGATTTTTCTTAATAATATGATCATTTCAGTTGGAAAAGACTGCTAAGGTCATCAAGCCCAACCGTTAACCTAATGCTACCAAGTCCACTGCTAAAGCATGTCCCTAAGTACCACATCTACCTATTTTTGAAATACCTCCAGGGATGGCGACTCCACCACTTCCCTGGGCAGCCTGTTCTAGTGCTTTACAACCTGTTTGGTGAAGAAATTTTTCCTAACCTCCAGCCTAAACCTTCCATGGCACAAGAACACTCTTTGTTGGAGCATTCCACCATTTGAGAAAAATTTAATATCAACTGAAAAAAAGCATATATGGGTAGATATAAATACCCCAAAGAAGCCAACCAATAAACCTGTAGTTCTCCCCCTTGGCCTGCCTCTGCCAGGTGGGCCTTTGTGGCTGTTACTTGAGCAGTGAGGCAATTCCAGCAATGAACGTGCCATGTTCATATGTGTCTACAGATCACAGCAGGACACCAGCAGTGATGCTCTGTACCCTCATCCTACCCATAAAATGCCTCCCCACTTCCCTGTAAGCACAGCTGGTTTTGAGCAGTAGCCTGGGCTAGGTAGGTAGTGTCCCAACCCATTAGAGGCAAGAGTCAAGGGAGAACTAGGAATAGAAGTGATGCCTAGATCTCCTGATCTCCTGTTTTTAAGTGCCTAATGATGCATTTTGTGTGATGCTTGAGCTGAGAAGATGGGGATAGGCTAAACCTGTGTGGGTCTGCTCTATGGAAAAGTTTGGGTTGTCCTGGTATGTCACTTGAGTCGTTCAGTCTCTAAGCTGCTGAAGTGTGCAGCTTCCTCCACTTCTCACAACGCAGTTTTAGCTTCAAGTTCCCCAGGCTTGCAGCTTTCCTGGCCCTACAACAGGTGTCCCGTTCCCCTGGGCTCTCACCCCAGGGCTGGTACTAGAGGCCACGTTTTTACTGTGCTGGCTTTGTTGTTAATTGATAAAAATGACAGGGAAAGACAAATTTCTGCAAGACAGACTTAGAGTGCATTAAATAAATATAAATTTTATTAAAAACACCCACATCTCAGCGTTATCAGGAATGATATAATAAACAGCTTTCAAATAACCTGCAATACATTACAATACTTACAGTATTTATAACCATCCTCAGATTCTTTTTATAGACATACCAAACATTTCATGAAAATTAATGAAACTGAAGTAGAAAAAAAAAATAGAACATAAGCATAGAAAATGCACACAGAAGTTCATTACCTTAGTGTCAAACTGCTAAAGTTTCCTACACAAGTTAACCACTAGCTTTAGAAGTGAACTTCATACCACTGTGCGTCAATCAAGATGAAAAATTCATTCAAGTAAAGTTGACACCACTCAGAAGCATCTTCAAGTATGGCTATAGTCAACCTGATAATCCTATACAAGCAATTTTATGTCTGCTTTGTCATTCATTCCAACTGAGGCAGGGTTCTGTACACCAAAAATTACAGTCGGGTATTTACAATACAAAACTGATTCACCAGCTAAGCTTCCTGCTCCTGCTGCCAGCAGTTTGGCAAATGACGGCGCATGGCATGTTAACCGAATGTGTGCTATGGGTTACGTGAATGATGCAGGACTTTAACAAAAAAAATCACCAAAAGATGAAGATTTATAATGATTTAACTCATCTGACATATAACCATCATTAATTACTTTTTTTTTTCCTCAAAGGCGAAACTTTTGTTTCAATGCGGTGGGTAAAGTCACAGACTGAGAATTAAAAAACAAAATTGCCATAATAAATATTTGACCATTGAACCCAAAGGCTTCCTTTGATTTAGTTAAGTTAGGTTGTGATTCTGTTAGAAAAAATTTCTTTCGACCAAACTTAATCTTACAGTATATTGCACAAGATATATTTGGGACATGGAGGTTTGCATGTTTAGGGAAGCCCTTGTACAGACTGTACCTTTTTATATTTTATTCATTACAGTATCCAAGAAGCCTTGTTTAGAGAGTGACTCGAACAACTCTAGCAAACAGTCACTTGCCAAACCCCTGCCTTACATTTTTCCCTTTAATCAGCTCAGTGCATTCTACTTTCTTTTTTTTTTATTCTTTTGAAACAGGCAAAACATTCTAAATCTCTTAAACGCTTTCATTACAATAAAAAGAGCTAACGAATTTACAAAAATTAGTTTTAGTTACATTAATACATGTACAAGAAAAATTAGAGAAGGGATTCAAAAGAAAAGCATTAAATCCCTGAAAAGAAACCCAAAATGAAACAAAAAACCAAAGAATAATATATTTAACCTACAACAGCTTTACATACACACAGGTGACACATTGGCATAGGAGAACATGAGCTGAAATATCCCTGAATTTTTAGAACCAAAAAAAAAAAAAAAAAAAAAAAAAGAAAATTAAAAAAAAATTGAAGTTCAAGTTATACTTGCTAAAATGTCAAGTATTGAGTTGTTTTTTTTTTTTGTTTTATTTTGTTTATTTGTTTTTTTCAAAGGCTATTTGGGGAAAAAGATGGTATACAATATATAAACTTTCACACTCAGTTCAATATCCTATTGCCAAGCTAGTGTTGAGGTATATGACAAGTAGGAACATCACTCAAACCTTTTAATGTATTTTTTAGCTCACATTATGATATATTTGTAGCAGGCTGAGTAGCACCATGATGTGAATTCAGCTCAAAACCCAAATATATATAGATTTAATATTTTTACAGTACTAAAATACTAAAGCATTGCGTTAAAAAAAGTTTTGTTTACAATTTAATTTACTATACAACTCTCCTGCTTTTTTTTTTTTAATAGAAATTAATGATTTAAAACCACCACAGCAAGCCAGCTGCCTATTTTTTTTTTTTTTCTCTATTTAATCAACGGAATCACACAGAACTAACCCTGTTTCATTCATCTTGTGTAGGCATCAGTCTGTTCTATCTTCCTGGAAAAGAGGACACTTGCACTGAGAAACGACTTACAGCACGATGTACGTAGTTATCAACACAAAAGCGATCTGCCATTCAATATTTGAAGAGCATACAGATCTTGAAAAACAGCAGAAGCCCAAGCTAACTAGTTGTAGACTGTTGCATGCTGCTAATTATTACCTGTGGTTAATATAAAAGTCTTTCCTTAAAACTGTACATATTTGAGCAATGAACTTGTCATAATAATTGTAGAAAACAGTTTACAGTATAGCTGTGTGAGATGAGCACCAGAAAAACGTGTTTTGTGTACTAAAGTATTCCCTTATATCCAGTAAGCCCCATTTTTACCATAACTGACTGTATTAAAAATGGATATGTAGCCCACTAGCAGATGCACGGCTAAAACAAAAGTATTTAAAAGCTTTTTTAGTTTAAAAAAATTATCTTTGCATTTTAAAATCAAAGTAAACTCTTTTTTTTTTTTTTTTAATGTCTTAGTACCTTAGCATTGTTCAAGTTGCCAAGCTTAGGTAGACAAAGTGCTTTTGAAACACTATTTAAAAAAAAATATCTCTCTATATATTTTATTGTCCTTTTCTCGGACTTGACTGGATGAGTAAAATCCAGAGGTCTTTGTAATTCTCATATGTTAAAAAGTAAGCTTATTTTAACATCAGGTGAATTCAATACATACATGAACAAAAAGGTCCTCCCTGTTGTCAAAGAACATTTGACTATATCATTGACATTTTGTTATAAAGGCATTAACTGTTCAACTGTTAAAATAAAGACACCATTCTCTAAGATAGCACCATGGTTTTAGAATATCCAAACAAATTCAGTGTTTTGCTGTCTATACGTTATGTTTTATACTTATCTACTTTGTTAAATAAAATCAAGAGACTAATAAGATTACAGTAAAAACTGCATGTTAAAAAGCCATAATTCCAGTATTTCAGTACATCATAGATTCAGCACCAGATGTTGTTTTAAGATACCTGCAGTTGTAATACTACAGTATTTTTTTTAGGGTTTTTTTTTTTTGCTCCTGTTCCATGACTACGCAAACTTGATGACGTTAGAAGTGGCCACAGATGTGGAAAACGGTAAGAAAAAAAAATCCATTTGCAGATTATCTCTTTCCTTAATGGCGCCAGTGTTTTCAAATGTAAATTGAGAAACACTATTTTTTTTTTTTTTTTTTTTTTTTGCATAGGATGCTTTGGTCTTGTTTCCTATGTGCCATCTGTGGCCACTTAAAGATCAGTGGAAAATAAGTGCGCTAGCAAGATGACCTCTTTTGCTGGTGTGCTGAGGCTTTTTCCACTGACGGGTTTCGTCAAAACACTGTTTTCTTCTCCACCCTTGCCTTCCCCCAAACCTAAAGAACTACTGCCCTACCAACAAGGTGTTTTTTTCAAATGAGGTAACCAACAAAGGTGTGAAGTTAGATATATCGGTTGTAAGGCCCTGTCACCCGTGTAAAGGCATATGGAGATGTAGTTACTGTGGAGTCTGTGGTGACCGACAGTGTCCTTTGTGCAAGAGACTTGATGAAGCGCACGTAGGTTGGCTCAGAGGGTTCGTGTGGCTCAGCAGGCTCCCGCTTGGCTTTTTTGCCGTAAGATTTCTGAGGCACGTAGTCCGGACCGTACTTTTCACATTCCTCTTCTTTCTCTCTTGCCTTCTCAGCCATCTTTGCCTCCCACAGAGCCAGACCATGTTTTGGCTCGTTCATGCTCTTGTGCTGGTAAAAGACAAGGGATATTCTGGTGGGATGGTTTCTGTTGGGGTTTTTTAAGGGAGTTGTTGCGTGGAGCTCACGTTTTGCACACTCTATGAGAATTGACCCGTGAGATGGAGCAACTGCCACTCCTCCAATTTCTGGATCCAGAAAGCTCTGCTCGCTATCTGACCAGACTTCATCGGGATCCTCTGCTTTTTCTGGATTCAGCACGTCGGTTTTATCTAAACCACCCTGGGGAGTAGTCCTATCATGGTTTTGACCTGGAAGCATGTTAGACAAACCATTAACTGCGTGTGAGATCATTTCGCTATCCTTATTTTGGAGATGCAGTGAATTAGGACGGCCACTAAACATACTTGGAGCAGAATGGTAGTCGTGTGCTAAATGTGGAGGGGGTTGCATGTAGTGATGTTCACTGCTTTTACTCATGGAGGCATAATCCATGCTCGGATTACTCAGATCAGATTTTAACCTTGAGGCAACCTCCATAAAATGGCCATCAGCTTCATGGGTGGAGTAAGAAGAAAAAGACCCTACGTGGTGTACATTTGGTCTAATGGTGCAATTATTGAAGGAGTCTACCTGCATATTTTGGTTTCCATAATTCAAGTACTTGGGACCAAAACTCTGGTTATTCCCAAATCTATGCTGGTATAACGTTTGAATGGGTGGTAGACTGAGTTTAGACATACGGTCTTGGCTCTGGCAACTATACAAGTCCACGTGCTGATGCTGGGAAGGGTAGGAGCCCAAGTAAGAGGGGCAGTTGTCCATAGGTATGCTTCCATTGCATTGGTAGGCTGGATATTGGTTGTTTTGACTTAACGATCCTGAATAAGGGTTCATGGGACTGGAAGAATTCAAATAAGACCCCGCAGGCTGTGATGAGGTTGTATAGAGGCTCATGGGACTGGACCCTCCGTAGGGATCTGAAGTGTATGAAGAGCTTGGATAAGCATTGGCTGGATTAGGCAACCTTACATAGAGATTTGCAGAACCTGAACCCGAGTATGAGTTGATAGGATTTGACTGAGGGTTGTTAGGGAGAGTGCGCTGTGGATGTTGCTGCTGCTGTTGTTGTGTGGCTGGTCCTGAAAGACGTAAAAGATCTGTGGATGTCAAAATAAGAAAAAAAACAACAAACAAGCTTTTCATAAAAAAACCAACAACCAGCTAACTACATACTTTATAGACTTTTCATGATGCATATCTATGACATTTCTAAGCAAACTATATCATATGATACATTAACAGAGGTTCCCTTTCTCATATCTCAAGTACCATCTTGAAGAAGCTGAATAAATACTAAGGCTACTGATCCTTTCTGGCACTTATCCAGCGAGATCAGATGCTAGTGGCAATGGGGGAAAAGACGACAGTGCAATCTGTTCAGAGTCACATGCACAAAATCCAAAGAGTTGAATCATCATTTAAGCAGCCCATGAAATGGAGAATCAAAGTGCTCCCAAACAGCTGTGAACAAGGTGACCTTCTTTTCCCCAAGAATAAATAATTTGTCTCATCTATATTAATAGAACTGTCTCAAAAAACATCCCTAGCTTTATGTAAAAAAACAACAGTGACATTCACAGATAGAGAGAACAGTTCAGTAACAAGTAAGATTAACTGAAGACATGCAAGCAAAAGCATCCTTCATTGCAGTGAAATGGCATCATTTAATGGTTACAACCCTAGCCTGGGTCATGGGACAGCTGATTTCTATTCACAGGTATCTCAGTGACCTGCTGGGTGCCCTTGGATTGATGGCTTTTTTTCTCTCTAAGAAAGCTGCTGTAACAATAAAATAGTCACGATGAATTCTTTTGCTCAGGACTCTTGAATCTATTGATGAAAACTGCCAGAAATTGTCAAGTGGATTTTTAAATTCTTTCTCCACTGTGGAAAAACTTTCTCTTGCTTTTGGTCTTGAAGCAGAGAGTATAACTAGCGGTAAAGAGGTTAGGCTTGAATCCCCTCAAATTAGGAGGTTCTCTGTAACAGTGGCAGACAGCGAGTGATGCGTAGGTCACTCTTTCTCTGGCAGCAGCATCACATGCTTCTCTTCAGGGCTTCTAGCATTACTAGTCTTTAAAAGGTAGTTGACAATGTACTGGATGGCAAGCCGAGTTTGCAAAAGTACACAATTTCTACAGGTGTTAACTATCCAACAATAAAGGTCTTCTCATACAACCTTTTTTTTTCCCCAGAGCTGACCACAATTTGGCACTCCTGTAATTATAAACACATAATATTGATATTTACTTTCAAGATGTCTCTTTCTTTTTACTTTAAAATGTTCATGGGCTGAGAATAATGGTTTTCCTGAGGCTCACAAACAGCCCTGGTTTCTAGGAAGCTTACTGCTGTTGATAAAGATCCCGATCAGATACACGTGTTTACCTGCTAGCTGCTTTGCATGACCCGCGGCCTCAGAGTTGCCTTGCTTGTTGCGTGCTGCAGCAGACTTCTCTCTTTCAGCTTTGCTAGGCCCATTCTCCAAGGAGGAAAGTTTTTCTGCAGCTGCTTTCTTTGCTTCTAGCTTCCTTTGCCGACAGGTCTTAACGGGCTCTGCTAACATCCTTACTTTTCGGCGAAAGGAGGTAAGGACCTGAATGCTGCCATTCCTCTTCTTCTCCTCCTGGCCCTCAGTGCTTCCAAACTCATCCACATCAGAGACTTTGTATAACGGGAGCACGTGGAGCTGCTCATCTTCTGGTGTTTGGCCAATTTCACGATTGTCTTCCCTAGTTAGTGTGCAAACCTGTCGGAAAGGTGCGTTAGAGTAACTCTCTCAAGCCAGTCTGAGAAGAAGCGATCTGAAACACTACCCTGTGCTTTTTACCTTGCCCTGCCACTGTCGGCGCTGGCAGCTGGCAAGCTATCTGTAAGCTCTAAGGTGCTGTGCAATTTATGCATATCATAACAAGTCTGCAATGTCATCATTTCTTCCATTGCTCTGTTGGACAGTGTTAATGGAGACAGAAGGTATATATAGCTATTTCTTGTACTCCTCCTGAAACGAACAGTATAGTTAGGGATTACCCTAATGAGAAATAAACTGTGATCCATTGTATCGTGGCCAGAGAGATAAAACAGTGGAACCCAGGACTTTGTACTCACTTGATGATTTTCTCACTAGAATACATTATCTAGATACCCATTAGAAACAGTGTGGAATAGAACATGCTGCCATTGTACTTCACCCCACCTTAAAGTCGCAACTTCCAGGACTTTGCAAAGGAGCAAGTCACTGTAATCTTCATAGTAAGACGTAAGGAAGTTGCTGTTACATCATGCAGCACGCTCGTTGAATTAGCTCCAGCTAAAGCAGGTGGAGAAAAGATGCTGATGCATATTCTGTAGCAAAATCATTGCATCAGCCAGTTTTAGGAAGAAAGCTCAGCTAGAAATATATATTGTATTGGTGGTGATGAACTTGTCAGCTAAGTCAGATCCTGGACACAGTTAAATTTAGTCCGTATTAAAAAAGTAGGTATTCTCTTTGGTCATAATAAAAGCTGCACTGTGAATCTAGGTAGTTGCTTCAAATTACAAGCACAAAGAATACTCACAACTGAAGATTATGCTTTCTCATGTTTACCCCAACTGTATTGTCACAGATAAAGTAGCCAGAGAATAATCCCATACACAGTGAAAACCAGCTTGCTTTTCTGGCATCTTCTGCAGAACCTTTGCTGTACACGGTTAGATATCAGAACTGAAGAAAGTAAAGGGTGCATGTACAATACAAAGGATGGCAAGGCTTGCAGACTTTTTGTTCATCCCAAGCAGGAACGAAATCCACAACTTCCAAAACTCTCCTGAAAAAAAGTTACTTGTTTCCATTTATGTTTTATTGGAAGATATAATCCAAAGCAGTTAGAAAAAACAGTGTTTTGAAAGGACAAGCCATTTTTTTCCAGGAACACTGAAATGGGCACTTCAGCCCTGCTGGGACCTTCTTTCCATTGTCTCCCTAGTCTCTCTTTTACTAGTTCTACATTAAACCTTTCTTTAACACACCACAAGTCTCATTCATTTGAATGAAAAATCATGTAGGGGGTAATAAGTTAACTCAATTACTGCTAAATGTTTCCTTTTTTTAGCAATCCGCATTATGCAAGTATAAATTTAAACAGACAGGAGATAATGAATTAAATATATGAAATTAGTGCTGGAGTCAGGAGGCTGTATGCAACAGGGACTTACCAACGTACTCCCGTTCTGCATGTTGTGCAAGTCCCTGTGAGCGTGAGCGCAAAAATCCAGGCAAGCAGTGACCCCTGAGAACGGGCGACCTTCTTTCAAACCCAGGCGACACTCGGGTGCTCTGTGCTCGTACTCGATCTGGAAGGAGATGACAGGTGTCACTGAACCCGAGCTGGAGGCTCCAGTACCCGGAACTGGCAGGCACTGAACACTCCACCCTGACAACATGCAAGTCGCCCAGCATCTTGGAGGTGGCAACGTACAGGTCTTGAAGGCAAATAAAATGAAGAAATTTGATGGCGGTTTTGTATCCATACTTCATCCCTTGCTGCTTTGCTCCCTGTTACCTTCTGTCTCTGGCATGACTGTGAAATTGACCAATAATACTTTTCCTTGTGTATTATTTTTGATTCTCTGCCAGCAGTTGGTGTTTTTTACATGACAAAGACAGCGCATGGTTTCAGCGTCTGGCACTGTAAGAGTGATATGTTTGTGTAGACTGGAAATGTACCAAGCTTATTAAGGGAAAACAGCTTTAGAAAACTAACTTCAGAATGATTTCATGAAAAAAATAATAATTGCTTTATGATTTTTAATATTTTGGCACTCTAAATATGTATTCCTTTGGTACAACTCTAAGCCCTGACCAAACAGGGAGATAATTCAGTCAAGACAGTACTTCTACCTACGCACTCGTTATAAGGAGCTTTACGAAGAGTTGATAACACAACGATAAACCTTGCACAAAAAGAAGGGATTTTGTAATGTCAGATCGAGCCTTAGACAAATGACAGTTTTGTAGTTTATTTAGAAAATTAAAAATGAAATCACATTTGTAAAATGCTGTGCTGAACTTCCTGAACTTTTCAGGTGAATGCAAAAACAATCTACGCTTAATGGAAGTTAACGGATCCCATTTTAAGTTAAGATGAAATTAATTTTGCAAAGTCTTGATCCAAGATCACTAAAAAGATACTTAGTACGCTCACAGGCCTTTATTTTTAAAATCACTGGAATGTGAAAATAAAAACAGAACAAAACTTGAAACATGCGAACTTCTTTGGAATTAAACAAGAGTAAACTGAAACATTAGCCAGGCTCAATTGTCTGACTTAATCAGACGTTATTACAATTATGTCTGATTAAAGTACACCAGTTCAGCTGTTCTGAGATGTTCTGTTAGGTTCAGTTGGAAAAAAAGACCCTTTCCAATTCTAAATTTTAATCCATTAGCAACCTAGACTTGGATCAGAATAAATCTGCGAATTTGGACTTCTTTTCAGGATTTAAAGAGGGACTGGTTTTTAGGGCTTTTGGGATTTAGAACCAATACCATACAAATTAGGCCTTGATCATCTCTCTTTAAAGATGCTGCCAGTAGCTTGATCAGGGTTTCCCCACAAATACAAGGTCTGCATAAAACTCCTAAAATAGGCCACGCTATACACACACACCTTGTTGGAGAAGGTAAAAACTGAAACTTGTAAAAACACATATTTTCAACAAGTGTTGGGCATGACCATGGCTACATGGAGAAAAGTTCTTCTGCAATTTTTTTTTTTTTAAATAAAAGCAGCCCAAGCAAAGAACCCTTTTATTGTTCACCACCCCCTCACTTTTTCTTCTTCCTCTTCCTTTCTTCTCTTACAGAATGTCTCTCAGATATTTGGACAGATAACTACAGCTAGTGGGTACACAGCCACAGTTTCCTCCATAATGAGTCTCCAAACATTATCTGATCAGGTAAGTCTGTACTGAACCTGCTTACCCTGCTTAGGTGTTACTAAATATGCAGTAAAGGAGTGAGTTTTACAGCAAATTAAAATCTACAGTTTTGTGTTAGTTTACTAACGGTTGAAAATTTGTCTTGTGCTGGTTGCTACAGGATAATGCTCTCAACAGGCAAGAAAGGTGATGCCATAGTTTGCAATATACTGATAGTTTGGAGACCGTTAAGTTTTGCATAGCAGTGAACCTGAGCAATGAAAACGTCCAAGAGTTAGGCATTTCCAAGGGGTATGTTGTCAAATTTTGAAACAAATGTCTGAAAGGCATTTGGTGAAGGGATGCAGATGAGAGACAGTCACGCTGGGAACCTCATGGAAGCTTTAAATGTGCTTGTATCTGCGAATGATGCTTCATGGAAGATGTGTGTGCACAATCCCCCCATGCAAGAAGGCTGGTGCTGGCACCTGTGTGCATGTACAGGGCTGGTGTGTTAAAACATGAAACTTTGCTTTAAAAGCATGTTTGTAATGGCTATTTTGGTGAAAACTAAATTCGTCTGCCAGTTGAGAGAGCAGAAGTGAAACTGTGGCTTCAGGACTCAAGTGCAATACAATGCAGCACATTCTGGCACTGTTGCCAATCTCACACCATCTTCATGGCTGTTTTGCTAGTTTGGCTGGTGACTCATGCTAAGTCCAGAAATTTGTGCTGTAGAGCTGAACAGTTCTGCTCAAGTGTGAAGTAACGTTATTGTTTGATGTAAGTGAAAAGATTAGTCCTAGTTAGTGATCCCAATTCAGCTAGCTTTATTTTTTAAAGTATTTTGAGTGGAATTAACTCATTTCCATTTGTCTTTGCCTCGATGTCAAAGGAATGCTGGCACAAAATGTACCTAATGGTTTGGCACAAGGCTGAAGCATTGAGAAGTGTGGTTCCAATTGGATTATTTGCATGACTGCTCCAATTCCTTTTTTTCTCCAGCATACCTGGTTGTTATATGCATCAGGTGCAAGCTTCTTGTAGGTAGGTGCCATCAGGGTTGACAGATTCTGCAAATTGGATTCTAGTTTTTCTTCCTGTTAGGAAATGAAACAGAGTTCAATGACAGTTCCACACTACGTATAGGATCTAAGAAGTTAGTGTCTTTACACAGTTATGTTTACACTGATAGTTGTGTAAAGGCCTAGACCGTTATCGTTCTTGAGGCAGTAACTGTTGTGAGTCTCCTTTTATTGTTTCACAGCTTTTGAAGTAATGAGGTAGAAGTCTAGCGTTATCCTGGCAAGAGAACATCACATACTACTATAGTCCTCATTTATATTAAGAAGAATTACATTCTTCAGCATGGAGAGGTTTCAGATCCAGTGTGACGATCCTCATTAGTTTCCCTGTTGGAGTTTTGAGAAAGTCATAATCTTAAGAAAGCTTGAGACAACTAGTATCAGAATGGCCCCTCAAATAAATCTGGCTAATTTAAGGGTTTTGCATATTGCAATGACAGCACTTCAACACACTGAAATATCTTTTCATGCAGCAATTTAAATTTAAATACTGCAGACTTCACAAAGTTCCCCACTCTTGAGAATTGCAGATGTGTCTAATAGTTTGACACACGGAGGCAGGAATGACTACACTTATTTTTTTTTCTATAAGGAGAGGTACACACTCTCAAAATGAAGGGCTCTTTAAAAATGCTGCTCTAACAACATACTCCAGCCTCTCAGGATGAGAATCCCAAATTCAAAATCTTGTGTATATGAGGCCCTTATTTTTAATTTCAGGTGCACAGAGAACAGTGGCATACTGGAGTGGTATACTTGTTTTTAGGATTTTGTATGTTTTAGGAATGCGTGAAGAGCTGTGAAAAGCTCTTGAGAGAGACATGTTTGGTGCATTAAAAATTTCTATCTCCAACTATGGGACTCAGTCCTAGTATGTGACTCCACAATGACACTATGAAATTGTCAAAAATATCTTGCTGTGACCTTGTGGATGCTGCCAGAACTTTGAGCTTCTATATGGCCCCCTGGCTACCTTTTGTCAGTGTTAACTTCTGGGTTTTATTGGTTAGAGTACCACCTGTGTTGTCCATGAACTGTGTCTATGCTATGGGACCCAGCCCCTGGTCTGGACACGTGCTTTGGGTGCCCCTGACTTTGTATGGGAACAAGACTGGAAGATAAAATCATCTTCCCTGCCCAGCTCTGGCTTCCGTGGGAAGTAAATCCAAGAATGCAAGTTGGAAGAGTGCCCTGGTGGGCTCTGGCCAGGTATCCAGCTTAGAAAGTTTAGGGGTTTTAGGATTGCAAGCTATGATAAAGAAGGCTTTGTGCCACAGCATGACTGAGGGAGAGCTATTCTGTAATTCTTGGGGCTGTGGAAGAGCAGCAAGGAGGAAAAAAATGGATGTTAATTATGATGATATTCTAAATAGTGTGCTAGTCTCAGCACAGGCCATAGGATGCAGAAGTACCTGGCTCTCTGATGATATGAAAAAAATGCTTGGATTTGTGTAAGAAAGACACTAGAGTGCATTGAAAGCTGTGGACCTATGCATCAGTACACAAGCAAGGGGCTAAATTTGCATCAGTACACAAGGAAGAGACCACATTACCAGACTGGGCTTTGGAGCCTCCCAGACACATGACTAATTGCAGGTGTCCAGGAGTCACTGCTGTCATAACTTCAAAAGTATCTTGTGCCCAGGCTAAGGTCAATTTTTTTTTTTTAATTACTCTGACTCATTCTGAACAGTTGCCAGTTTGCTGTAACACAGAACCCAGGCTGGAAACAATCCAGCAGGGCAGGACTGTATGTAGGATGAATCTTCCTATCCTCTTCCTATTGTGATCTCAGAGTTTCATCACGTTTGTCTCCACGCAGCCTGCTCTGGCTCCCAGCTGCAATGTTATGTGCCTTCAGCTGGTAAATGTTGCACTCCACCACTGGGGAATGCCCGGCTGCAGGCCTAATGCAGCCACAATTATCCAGGCCGTGCCTCCTCCTCTAATTGTGAAAGCCTGCAAACACGGTTTCAAGTCTCAGGGCTTTTACCAGCTGTCAGAATTTGGACAGTCAATTCAGCTGGCTCAGTGACTGGAATCAATCAGCTCTGACTGGCAGTTATTTAATTACCCTCCATGTATGCCATTCTGGCAGCACTCTGCCCCCTGGTCTCTCGTGCTGTATCTCTATTTGCAGAGTGACAGAAAACGTTCCCTTACAAACAAGGCTCATTTTAGAAATGGACACCAACCTCTTTTGGGTCATCCCCCATCAGCTTAAACTTTCTTGGAATCTTGCTTCTGGCAAACTTACAACCATTGTAGTACATGCTCCAGGAGCAACCAAAGGAAAATGAAGCACCACAAGTTTCAGGGTCCAGCCCTTGACACGCGCAAGTCCGTCTGAAACGTAAGAGAATGTGGCCGTTAGCAGCAGGCGGGTCACCCTGGGGCACCCCACAGTGGGTACTGGCATCCTGCCAGCCTTTCGGGGAATCATGGGTCTTGGATCGTCTTCCATCAGTCAATAACGAAGCAACAAAAGACGGGGGCATATGTATGAGAACAGAAGACTTCATCAGATTGGATAATTTCATGGCTGCAAAGCAAGGACTGTGGGATTTCTACACTTCTGAGAGAAACCTGGCTTTGCTTGTGAAGTGCTGGGGTCTAAAGCCCAAGCCCTGAATAAGGGTTGACATATGGATGATGTCCACAACCAGGCAAGGAAGACTTTCCTCTTGGTTTTCTCTCAGGGCCTGGCCAACCTTGGGTGAAAACCAATTAGGAAATCACCACCAGGTGCCCTGCCTTTAGAATTAACATCAGGTGTCCTGCCTCTAGAGTTAATGATATAAAAGCTGGCTCTGCTTATGGTGTATGGGGGTGCTGGCTTATGTAAGGTTTCTTGTTATTGGAAGGGCTCCCTGACTGTCCACCACAAGTAGAGTTCCCAGCGACAGTGGGACAAGATCAAGACCAGGACAGAAAGAGGATGATGCATGTAATGATGTTTTTCCTTGGCAATTGCTATACAATTGGAATTGGACTGATGACCTGGCTTATTCCTTCCCCCATGGCCTGGTTTCTAACTCAGCTCACTCCTTTCTTTGCTACATCATACACCATGAGTGAATACATTGATCTGTTTATTCCTTTGGTTGTTAGCCACCTCACATCTTTCTTATATGCTTTAGAATGGGGTGGAAAGATCTGGACGGTGTGCTCTCTATTAATGGCAATATCCTTCCTACTGGGTCACGCAGTCAGCAAAAGAGCTCAAAAGAGGGTGTGTTTGCATGGTGCCTCCTTAGGTAGTGTGATATTCATGGTACCTGAAAGACACATGGGCTGAGAGTACTGCAAGAATGTGGGAGCCCTCTGACAGGGGGTAAGCAGCAATTCCTGAAATATGACTGCCCGTGAAGCTGATGTAAGGTACAGAGACAGCTATGTTAAATTTGGTCTGGATGTTCTTTTTCTATCAGGACGACTTGGGAAAATGATGTCGTGCAATTTCTTTAGTTTCAGGCTAGCTTCTGTAGGCTTACAGTGTGATTTAGCGCATCTAGTTTTTATTGCAAGGTTGAGGTATCTGCTGTGCTGGGCCCTGCTGAGAGGTCTTCCTTTAAACGTAGTGAGATGCTTCACAACTCTGGGAAAATGTTTTTCCCCGATTCATAAGGTTTACTTTGCTTTCCTTACAAACAGCCCGCGGAGCGGTGCCAGGCGTGGGGCGGCAGGCGGGGCGGGCAGCCTGGCGAGCGCTCCC